TCCTCCATGTCATCCTCACACAGACAACCCATTCGTCGCTTTCCATTCGGATTCCACTCGAGCAATGGCCTACATTGCACCCGATGTCATTCGACGGCCTCCTCAACGAATGCCCGATCCATCTCCATTTTCTGCTATATATTTGTTAATCATTCGGCTCTCGGTTGATTCGTTCCCAGCCAGAGTTTCTTGTTGCTAGTTCTTTTTGGTCGGCCGGCCATTTGATCATCGGTATGGAAAGAGAAAAGGCAGCTGTTGACAAAAGTTTGTAACTTGTTGGAAACCCTTTTCGTGACACACAGTTTCTCATCCGTATAGAAGGACAGACATAATATTGGTGTTGAAAATCCGAATCATGTTTTTCATGCTAGATGAGTGAGAGCAGAAGATTTCCAAATTGGTTTCGGGTTGATTAAGCTGTATCTTGCCTTTCCGATTCTGGCCGGCCGACTTTGACATCTTCATCCGTTCCCGCTGCCTCTGGTTGAAACGATGTTGCCTAGATAATTGAAGGAGGTAACCTCTGTCAAATCTCTCCTGTTGATGATGATTGCTACTGGTTGCTGTTGTTGTTGAGGTTCATTGGTTGTCTTCATCACCTCTGTCTTCTCTATGTTCACCTGGAATCCTGCCTTTGCCGCCAGCTTCTTCAGCCACTTTGTTGGTTTTCGCCTTTAAGTCTTCGAGTTTGTGTGACATAGAATATAAATAATCTGCGAAATACAGATCTTCTAGAGTCTTCTCTTCGGTAGCCCAGCGTACTTCTGTCTTCTCACTCTCAGTGCACAAAATGACGCATAAACCAGTCCACCACAATTAAGAATATCACCGGTGATAATAAGCAAGCAGCACTGTCTTACTCTTATATGCACTTCGAACGCCTCGCTGAGTTTTCCGTTGTGGATCTCCACCACCTGACACATGGCATTTTCATATAACCAGCTGTTGAATGAGGCTGATAAGGATTTGGGCACTGCACGCCATAGTGTTGAAGAAATTTCCAAATAACTTCTCGGTCAACACTGGATGTTTAAGGCCTTTTCGAAGTCGATGAAGTTGAGGTAGGGATTTGAATGCCATTCTATGCTTTGTTCAGTGATGATACGAAGAGTTGCAATTTGATCAGCACATGATTCGCCCTTCCTGAATCCAGCTTGTTCCGGTTGGCGGGGTCCTGTATCCAGTGCATCCTTTATTCTCGCCAGGCTGATGCAACTTAGTATTTTACTTGGAGTGGACAAGGGTATTATTCCACGCCAGTTCTTGCAGAGGCGTAAGTCGCCCTTCTTTGGCAGTTCGACTAGGTAGCCCTTCTTCCAATCGGTAGGCACCTTTCCTTCTTTCCAAACTTTTTGCAGTAATGGAGTGAGAATGTCTGCTGTAATCTCTAGGGCTGTCTTCAAAGCTTCCGAGTGGGGGAATTCCGTCTGGTCCTGCTGAATTCCCGACTGGATTTCAGTAGCTTGATCGCATTTAGTATTTCTGCTTTCATTCGAGGATTTGTGCCTACTGGCAGGCAGTTCTGTGCATGCTGTAGGTGATGGTATTTGTGGGCGAGTTGCAGCTGATGGTTGATTCAAGAGTCCTTTAAAGTGATCATCCCATTGTTTTATTTGTTTCTCCTCCTTGGTAGTTAGACTATCTTGAACATCTTTTATTGGTAAAATCATCTGGGTGATCTCTTCCTGGATAGAGACGAATGATTACTTTGAGGAAACTAAGTATCATTTTGAAATTATTTCGTAAATTTCAAGTGTATCTGCCTTTTATGAACACTGAAATCCTCAGAAAATCATAATCAGCTCAGTATTCGTTATTACTTAAACTGAAGATATAAGAAGCTATTGATTAGTAAAGTTTACTGAGTGTGAAATAAGAATATTGGGTAGCTACTAGGATACAGCCCTAGTTGTCGAAAGTTCGAAATCACGTTTCACTGGATTAGAAATCAGCGACTAAGTGGCAAAATTACTGTCTCAAAACTGACTCTTCTTGGCCTGATGAACTCTAGAGTTTTCTGAGATTACAAAATTCTCTGTACATTTCGTCACAGACTGACAAGAATGACAGAAATACTGAAACCCAAGAATATTCAATTCACACAGACTGGTGCTTTTTAGAATACAGTTTTACAAACTTGGTTGAAATTCATGAGTGGAAAGTTTGAATCTCGAGTCAATTTTAGTACTCACAAATAGTTGTAGATGGAACACTAAAATATCTACAAAAGGGTTTCAAACAATTTTTATGAACAAACAATTTTCATACAAACTGCGATCAAGATTTGACCGAATAGTTCCAAAATAATTGGGTATCGAGTGAGAAGCAGACATTTGTGAAAATCATTAACTTAACTCTCATTCATTTTTCATTGAACCCTATCAATTAGATTACGTCACCCAACCTACTTTTGTAACTTTATTTTTAGTTGCTAACCGATTAACGCCTTCTAAATTACTTAATTTGTTGTCAAAAAATTAACAATTGCATTAACACATCTTTGGAAATATTCCTTTTGTTGCCAAGAAAAATTACTATAAATTTGCGGTTTGTACAGCTCGAGAATGATATCGTCGAAAAGAATAACTCTTTATTGAACGCCTTTTCTTTTCTATGAAAATTATATTTGTAAAATCTGAGTGAAATTGAAATGGGTAATACCAACGTTTCATTTGGCAAACTGGTTTGAACTTCTTCAGGGAAATTAATCGAAATTAGCATAACAGAGGTATCTATATAACAAGGAAATCTTTTGTTTTTAAAAACTTTGTCCAATCATAGGAGTCATGACACAGGTATGAACATGTATAATAAACAAAATTGTATGAGCTGTGATCAAAATTTGACCCCAAACTCATAAATATTACGAGTTGATCACGGATTGTTATCAGTTAGTTTACTTTTATTAAACACTTTAAACAAAGTGTACTTTTGAATAAGGCATTTAGAAGACAAATTTTGCGAGATGATATCATTTCGTAGTTTCTTTACAACCGCTTTACAACTAACATGGTTAACAATAATAAAATAAAGTTCATGACAATTACTCAGTTATTTAAAAAAAAAGTACATACTAATGACCAAAACTATAGAAAATCATATATAAATAGGTCAAGTAGTCCATGGTAGGCGAAGGTTGAAGTCTATCGTTTTTGTACACACAGTTTAGGCTGTATATGATTAATCCACAGTGCTTCCATCACCTTCAATAACCTTGAATTAGAGTTATGTGAAAAAATTCTAAAACAGTCATTAATATTGATTTTGTGACCTGACATTAATAAGTATTTTGTAATGGATGATGCTGGATTTCTATTCAGATTAATCACATTGGGATTTTCTATATGATTTAGTAACCATTTTGGAACATATTCTTTTCGACGACATTGGAACATTCTGTTGGTTCTACCTATATAGGTGTCACCGCAGCTGCAGGTGAATTTGTAGATACAGTTTTAAGTAGAGTCTACAGAATTTTATCCTTTAATCGTAGGTACAGGGATGGAAAATGTTCGGCAAGTGAGAAAAAGAGATGCTGTGTAGAATGTGCGTTTGATGGCTGACCGAAGTCTTTGAGCTGTCAACTGCATAATCTGGTCATCCTTGAATGGTAGGTTAATAAAGATAACTTTCTTTGGTACAGAAGCTATCTTTTCGAGATGTGGTCTTTCCTTAGTGTGACGAGTGATAAAGTTTCCTGGAGAACCATTAGCTAATAAAACTGAATGTATATGTCGAAACTCATCCATCACTGTGTCACTCGTGCATATTTTTCGGGCCCTTGAGAAAACACTTTTCACTAGGGAACGTTCATACTGGATAGGAACAAAAGTAGTGAAATGAAGATATTGTCCACTTCATGTCTGTTTGCGGAAAACAGATTGCTGAATCGTTCCATCATCTCTTCTGGTCATTGTAAATGATTCATCACTCATACCCGAAATATGGAAAATATTACTACCAATCAAATCAAGTGAAAATCAATGGAACTATATAAATTAATTTAGGAAATCGTGTGATTACCTTGATATGATTATGAGCAATAAATTGTTCTCGAAACGTCATCAGTAAACATTACTGTGAGACTTTATCAAAACAAAATTTACCCATAATGGAATTACACTCTACCACAGTGCACAAGTTTTATTCTTTTATCATTGTAAATGTACTTTTCATCAGAATTTTAGTGATTACATTTGACTAAACGTTCGTGGTCGTAGATAACTGAATATGAAAAATATATATATATATTTGTATATGCGGGGTACAATGATGTGTGCGTGTGCATGTGTGATGGGTAAGCAGTTGTAAATCATTTGTTAGCCTTTTCATAAGTAGATATAGACAATCGAAGATTTAGACGAAGTACGATTAATTAGTGATAAATATACATTTTTATTTATTAATCAGGATTTGCGTCGCATCAGCTAAAATCACACCATCCCGTCTGTTCAAACTATTGGGATTCACCCATTTATGTAGGGCTTCTGCAGTCAATCTCTCTTTATACGAACCAAAATGTTTCTGTAGAACCTCAGTCTTATCAGAGTCGATCTTGTGTCACTTTCCTATCGGGTTTTATGCAGTCGCTAATGTGTTTTCTAGGTTCTTTAAGTCTGCCGACACCTTTGGAACCACCTTTAGATATTTTTTATGCTCTTTGACTTTTATATTTGCCTGTCTGGAAGTTTCTCCTACATATACGACCTCACATCCCCACAATTTATCTGGTGCACACAATCCTGTTGGTTGTCTTCTGTTTTATACTTAACCTTTACTAGTGATCACCGTTAAGTGTTAGTTGCACGAAAACACATTGTTATGTCATGATTGTTAAGGATTTTATTTTCAGAAAGTATTGAACATGAAGTTAACATTAATGGATTGCTTATTGTATAAGTTCTCGAGAGCGACAAATTTATTTGATGTAATTTCCAAAGTAAACAAATTAAATTTTAGAAAAATTGACCATCTTATTTTTTATTTGTTTCATGTCTTAGAAAATATTTAGGTGCCTACCCAACGTTCATTACATCATTAATATTAATTGGACTACAGACTGCATTAGTTGAAGAGGTGAGTTTAACTATCTACGGGGTTATTTGATCGAAAAGATATTAATTGTAATCAGTTATAGAAGTTTTCATCATGATATGACATCAGTTAGAGAACTACTGGAAAACCAGATGGGAGTGCTGGACATCTGTTTTGCCAGCCTAGTTCGGGACTATTCAGAAGCACGCATCCACACTGCGGGGTCCGAACCCAGGACCTTCTGCTTACAAGGCAAGCTCGTAGACCATCCAGCCACTGGAAACCGATCCAATTGCCAGCCCATGAATTCTAACTTGTGCCAGTTTATGACATAGCGCGACCACTTCACAATGTCTTCGATGAGTTACTGCCTTGCCTTCAACCTGCTGTACCCTACTGGTCACGGATTCCCACTAGAACCCCATGTAACTGTCTGAATAGGGTCAGTCGCTAGTGAGCATCAGATCAGTTTTCAAAAATTGGCTTTTGTAAGGATTTTGTCTGTACTTGAAAGTTATGAAAGAATTAACTATTTTCAGATGTATTCTTTTTCACATCCAATGAAAAACAACTAAAATAGACAAGCAAAGGTGTAACACCCAAAAACAAACAAAAACATGAAAGTCACTTCCATCAAGTTACAGTGTAATACTCATAATAGACTTCACCTCTGCCTATTATCAGTAATATATATATATAAAGCAGATACCATGAAAACGTCTTTCAGCTAATTCTGACAAATACACCTGACAGAGAGACTTTCCATAATTCCCTCTAATTTCGAAAATCCCTCCTGTTATTTTACTGTTATCAACATTCATTTGAGGTATTTCTACGTAATTCTTTAAATTCAAACCAGAGATGCTTAGTTATCAAAGAGCGTATTTTAGTATGGTTTGTTATACTGCTATTATCAATGTATGAGATTTAGCTCAAAATAAATTCTAAGCTTCCAGTTAAAAGTAGGGATAAGGTGTATTTTGCAGAGTACGAAACACAGCAAAACTGTGTCATTCATCGTCTTCACTGTTACATTTTCCAAAAGCATGTGTTTTGTTAAATTAAATATCTTTTCGAGTTTAGCCATGAACTGAAATCAGTTAGAGAACCATTGAAAGCCAGCAAGAAGTACTGGACACCTGTTTCATCCTTGTTCAAGACTCATTCGCAGTATGCGCCCGAGGTTTCCTGTTGTCCTGGTGAGAGGTCGTGACCAGTGAGGTCCATCTAGTCGGGAGTGAGGATGGATTTCTCACCAATGAAATTGGTTGCTGATCGCACTAAAATCACGAATCGGTAGGAGTTGGAATTCATGGACTGACCATTGAATCACGTCTTAGTGGCTGAATAGTATGAGGGAAGGTCCCGGGTTCGAACCCTGTCGGTTGATGCGTACTGCCAATGTATGAAACAGCTGTCCAGTACTCCTTGTTGGTTTTCGATGCTTCTCTAATTGAAATCAATCCGTGGGCAAACTCGGAAAACAAATCTAATCCTTACAAATCAAATCTTGAAATTATCTTTTTATTAATTACTAAAATACTGAAAATCTTTTTTTTAATACAAGAACTTGGGCGATCTATTGAATAAGTACGCTTTCTTAGAAACGACACCCTTTCCAGGGCTTCTTAATACATCTTCATAAATGTTACATCACCTATTAAGAAACAGGTGCGAATAATCCCAAAAGTGTGGAAAACAAGCTTTACTACAGAAGTTCATAATATATCTATCAAAAGATAAGTGAATTATGAAGAAGTATAAATTCAGTAACACCTGAAGAATAACTTTTAAAATTCCAGTCTATTTCTTTCTGCTTACTGTACAAACTTAGTACTCAGGGAAACATTACATATACATATTATATGAAGCACTTGAGTAAGGCACAGTTTGATATGGAATTTCACAGTAGTTTCTATGAGAAATCAAAAATATTCTTACCATAAAAGGAATAATAATAGTAAGACAACTTAAATGAAAGCCTTTGTAATGCGCAGTACTGTTTGACATGACTAGTTCGAAAATCAACACATAAAAGGATAACAGTAACTATCTAGACCAAGCTAATGTTAACTGTAGACAGCGATTCAGGGATTTTGTAGCATATCCAAATTAAAGCAGCTCAAAAAGTCTCATCATTACAGGAACTGACTTGATACTCCTCACGTTACAGTTTCAGTACTTTGTCCACATTTATTTAGATGTTTCTTCTTTACGTTTCAGTTGTCTAATTTATTGGGTTGTACAGCAGGAATTAAAACTGCTGTTACTGGTATCAGTTTGGTTGCATTAGGTACATCATTACCTGATGTATTTGTCAGTAGGACCGCTGCTATCTGTGATAAAAATGCTGACAACAGTATTGGAAATATTACAGGTTAGTAACTTGACCTTATTTACAAAGATTCGATTATTATCTTATTGAGTTAATCCAAGTATTTCTCACAGATTTTTATTTAGATTGTGATTGAAGACATCAGCAAACAGATACATTAGTACAGCACTTTTATTCACGTTGTAGTGTATACGTGCAATCTGATTATGAATATAGGTTTTTTACTCACTCGTTTACGTTCGGGTGGTATACCGGACCAAATGAGTGGTTGGTAAGTATTATCTCGCACTACGAATACTAGTAAAAGTTAATAATTTACATGCAGCCTTAGTTCATCCTATTCACCAACAGAAATCGAATTCAGTTGCCTATAACTACTTGAAAAGAGAACAGTTTTTCCGCTTAAAGTGCTAGACGAACAAGATTCAATGATGGGCAGAAACTCTATGGATAAATGATTATTGCTTCGCTTTTATACGCCTAAAGTCATCAGCATCACACTCGCAGTAGTTAGTTCTCTAACTGATATCAATCCGTGATCAACTCGTAAAAACAAAACTAATCCTTAAAAAACAACTAAAGAAAATTAATCTGATGCTTGCTACAGGACTGATTTTCCTGGACTTCTAGTGAGCAGTCCTGACCAATGAAGTCCGTCCAGTCAAGTGTGAGGATGGATGTCCCAGCAAAGACTTTGGTTGGTGGTCACGCTGAAAATCGCAAATTGGTAGAAGTTAGGATTCATGCGCTGGCTATTGAATCTGGTCTCAGTGACTGAATGGTATACGAGCTTACCTTGTAACAGGAAGGCCCTCGGTTCGAACCCTTTCGGTGAGTGCATACTGAGGATGATTTATTGAAGCTTCGCTATGTAATGTTAATAGCATATGCTAATAGTATATCTATATTCAGGAAGGAAATCCACTCCAACAAATATGTAGACTTCGGATCATCACACCCCATCAGCGCAAAGGTATCATTTATTTCAAGTCTTCTTAGACGATCACACTCTTTGATAACTAATGGGAAAGAAAAAGAAAGAGAAATATTAAACATTACTGAGACTCTCATGCAAAATAACTACCCTAAAAACTTCACCAACGAAATCAACACCAACATTAAATATGGTCGAAAACGTATTGCGAAGACATGGACCCCAAAAGTTGTCATCCCATATAGATCAGAGACGTCAGACGATATCAGAAGAGTACTCAATGAGCATGACATCAGATTTTTCTTCAAAACATCAGACACACACATTACAGAGCAACCTTGTTCATGTAGAATACCAAATCCCTAAAGATTCTATATCTAAATGTGTTTATAAAATAAAATGCTTGGAATGTGACGCAATTCACATCGGACAAACATATCGAAAAATCAAAATCAGGAGAAATGAACTCTGTAGGGCATCTGCTCAACCACCGAGAAATCCAGTTAGTGAACTAGGATCAGGCCACAAACTTGATTTTGACAATATTGAAATAATCCGGAAAAATTCCAGAAATCACGAAGAACGTCTAATATCATCGGAAGTACTTCATATCAAATGGTATCCAAATTGTCTGAATAGGAATGATGGACTAAAACAGAATTTGACCTGGTTACAACACCTCCCTCCCCCATGAAATGACAAATCAACACGAATGTGATAAGCAATATCATTACGTAAACACACGTTGTTTTTATAACTTTACACACTTATCAAATCCAATAAACTACACCTGGTTTTGTTATCTTTACGGACTGGCCAACTTGACAAACACGTGAAAATGACCCCATACTGATGAACGATGATTCAGTTGTTATATAAAAGCTGAGATTTTGTGAATTCTAGTTTGACAATACTTTGATAAAGCTATTAGCAGCATTAAATAGCGAAACGTCAATGAAAACAATGTAGCTTTGTTTTTATTCATTGGGAAATACAAAAACAACCTTTATTATAATGAATATCATGTACCCATTGCACAGATTTTTTCAAACTGTTAAAAGTGAATTTCGTTTAGACACATAAAAGTTTGAAATATATTGTGTTATAATGTTCATTTGGGAGTAACGCCTTACTCAGTATAGCTTTTTACTTTCTTATTCTTTTTCTTTCCTGGATAACCCATTAGGTTCCAATAGTGTTAATGTATTTTTAGGTGTTGGACTGCCATGGTTAATTAGTGCAATAAATGCAAAAGTCAAAGGGAAACAATTTTGTATTTCATCGGAAAATATTTTAGAAGCAATATCTTTCTACTTAATATGTGCTTTTTTATGTTTAGGAATGCTGATAATTCGTAGAAAGGTAAATCTGTTTGATATTTTGTAATTTATATATTTTGAATGATAATTATACTTAACTTTCATAATCTTTTGTTATTTAGTTGACAAATGCAGTTTTGCAGTGTGTATTCCTAATCTCCTGTGTGTACAGACCACTGGTATCCACCTTTATTTTAAGTTATTAGGCAACAGATATCGACAGTGAGGACTTTAAAAGTAAAATTGAATTCTCAAGTACCTACTGTTCATATTTGTAAGTATCAGTTTGTTAAAAAGCCTACATAATTCCCCGGCTTCGTAGCTCAGTCAGTTGGAGGGTCGTGATAATAATGTGAATATCAAAGCTTCATTCCATTCTGAAGTGAGCGGATTAGGCCTACTTGGATAGAGGACTCCCTAGTGATTTCACCAGAGGATGATACTGCATGCTGTTCTAATCTCGCGAGCCAGCGCATAATTATGCAGTCAGTGGGTGTGCCATTATCTGAATGGTATACTGGGGCTTTCGCTCCTCGGTGGTACAGTCTTAGAAAACTCGCCAACCACACACGCGGTTGGTGGTCCAATTCCAGTCCGACATACTCTTAAATCTTGCTAAGCCGGTAGTAAGCCCATTAAAGAGGATATGTTGGGCATCAGACTGGAATCCTTACTCCGTAAAAAGTAAACGCCGCTACTAACGAAAATTCGAAACTCAATTTACAGTCCCTATGTTCCACTCGGAAAGTGAAGGAACAAAATAAATTTTTTAAGAAATACTTTTATTTCTCTTCCATGAAGTCATTTTAAGCATATCTCAACTTGCTGTCTATTTAGGCATAGATACTAATGCTATTATTGGATCACTATGATCCAAATTATAATAGAAACAATAAATCTTAAATTTTCTTAAACGGGGACACCTGACCTTTGATTATATACAGGTAAATAAATTTGTACATTCGTTCTGATTGCTGTAACGCAATTAGAAGCTGTCTTTAACTATAAAGTATCTACAAAATAAGTTCGCTTTCAGTTTTTGTACAACTGATTAGATGAATAGTCATAATAAAAGCGTCGAAACTACATCGCCCTAGATTAGTTTAAAGCCGTATTCAATATTATCCCGTGGACAACTAATTTAGGCACTTACCGGAACCATATAAAAGACCGATTTCTCACTGTTTCACTTCAAACACCATAATCATAGGATCCTGTTTATTTTGATTACTTTAAGCTAATTACTGTCATCATTTATTCTTCTTTATACGTTACTGCACCAAGCTGGGTGCCATGAGGATGGAGAAACTGAAAAATTATGTCATTAAAATTACCTCAAGAAGTCTACTAGACATAGAGTTCAGTCTAAGTATCATCATGCACCATTAAAATAACCACACCGGAGAGGGATTTTGAATAAATCTAACTTTACTCAATCGACTCAGTTTAAACTAGTATTAATGTCATGTGAAACGAAAATTTCTACTAAAAAGGAATTATATATTCTTCAAATTATATTTATATTTTCTATGGCTTTACAATGAAGGCAACATTGCATTCAACGATTCCATTTCTTGATGTGATGCTAATAGAAAAGAATGATGGAACTTTTGGGACATGAAAAAGAAGAATGAAGTTTTTTCATAGCTTAACCTATATCAGCAGAAAAAGGAAGTTTAGACTTTCCTCTTTCGTTGTTAGACAAGAAAGGCTGTACAAATTTCTGCAGTTTTGGAGATAGGTTTTATATAAAAACTAGACACTTCAACAGATTTATGCATAAAGGCATTAGCTTAAAAATGATTAGGCACAAACATATAGTACGTTAGTGACTCAGAGGTAGAATGCCCACTAGCCACTCAGGTGGTTTGGGGTTCGATCCTCGACCGACGCACTCCTAAACCTCATTTAGCTGGTAATAAGGCCAGCTAAGAAGAAAAGTTGGAAGTGCAACTAGTAATCCCACCTCATAAAAATAAAACCACTGTTACCGAAATTTCAAAGCTCTAGCCTGAAGCCCTATATTCTATTAGTGATGCAAAGGAATAAAATGAAATACTAATAAAAAACATATTGTTTTTGTAGATAAAAAGAAGGCATCCAAGAATGTCGAACTCGGCAGCAGCAGCAGCAACAGATGAGATCCTAAGATGTGAGGTAACTCTGATGATTACTGCTACCAGTCGTTGAATGGTGAATACATAGATAAGAGAATAACTTTCACTTTTAGCCACTTCTATTCACAAAAACAAGCAAAGACAGAAATGGAATATTTTGTGACTAAGTTTTTCACTGGATTCGTATTCTAATACTTCATCTTGTATAGCAGTCCTATAAAAAGAAAAATATGAATACGGGACTCAATTGAGGCTCCGTAATTCGAATGAGTACAGTCTAAATCCTTTAACGAGGACCAAATGGAAGGCAAGTCTGGTGCCAGCAGCCACGGTAACTCCAGCTCCAAAAGCGTATATTAAAGTTGCTGCAGTTAAAAAGTTCGTAGTTGAACCTGGATTGTGCGGCCACATGCCGTTGCTTGTTCGCGGTTTTGGTTACTATCAGAACTTGTGTTCGGCTTGGTGTAGTGGTTGTGCGGCGTTTCAGCCGTATCTGTGTAAATGGGCGCTGACGGAGATGGGTGAGCTTGTAATGCCCGCTGTCTGTTGGCATGCTTTCGGATGCCTTTAACCGGGTGTCGGGAGAGGACGGCATCTTTACTTTGAACAAATTTGAGTGCTCATGGCAGGCCTTTGTACCTAGAAATTCTTGCATGGAATAATGAAATAGGACTTCGGTTCTATTTTGTTTGTTTTCGGATCCGAAGTAATGGTTAAGAGGGACAGACGGGGGCATTTGTATGGCGGTGTTAGAGGTAAAATTCTGGGATAATCGCCATACAAGCTACAGCGAAAGCACTTGCCAAGAATGTTTTCATTGATCAGGAGCGAAAGTCAGAGTTTCGAAGACGATCAGATACCGTCGTAGTTCTGAACAAAAACTATATTCCATTGTGTCTTGACGCACTTATTTATTACATTACATATCTGTAATCTAAAAGAAAAGTTTTCCACATCAAGTGCGAGAAATATATGTGGTAAACTCTATCCAGAAAATAGAGGTATTGACCAAGCGAAATGGCCTCCCGGTGTTTAGATCCCTTATATTTAGCCAGGAAGCACTATTAGTCTATGTGTTTGGCATCCAACTATGCGTATCCTTCACTAGTGTATACTCACATACTTTTGTGCTAATGTGTTCTATTGCGGCTTTTGATACTAAGTAGATCACATATTGTGATCTGAATAATTCCAGTTTCTCTAGGAAACTGTGGTAAAAGTTCACCTCCTTAAATTGTGTATTTTACACATTGTGAATTTGAAGGAGGGAATCTCTTCTGTGGAATTCTGAAATTATTTTTTCATAAAGTATACTGGTAGTTTCAAGAATTTCCAGTCTTGGAATTGACACGCATGCTTTGTTTAATTCGTATATATATATGACTATATAAATTCTGATTGGTTACAGGATTTCATCATGAGCTGACATCGGTTAGAGAACCATTGGGAAACCTGCAGAGAGTACTGGACAGCTGTTTCGTCCGCCCTACTTTGAGACTCCTCATTAGTACACAACACTGCGGGGTTCGAACCCAGGACCTTATGACTGTTAATTGATTACATAACATATGCGGTTGCTTATCACGATTCATTTAATTTCAGTATTTAGATTTCGTCACAAACTACCATCAGCTAGAAAGATCAGTGATCCCTCCCAGTATAGGAAACAGATGTCGAGTGTTCCCTTGTCTTCGGTGATCTCTCTAACTGACGCTGTCTCATGATGAAATCTAAAAAGTAAAATTAAATTGGTCCACATCCCCTTAAACTCCACAATCCACATATATATTGATTCAAGTGGTCAACCTACATAAAGAACATAAACAAGATGACAGGAAATAGATAAATAGTTCAACGTGAAATTTTTACAAAATGGTAAACATGCGAGTAAACGTATACAGTCAAGTTGTTATGGTACAAGTAACAATATATTTATATATACATATAAATTAAAAGCAGCATAATTAGGGATAACTTTAACACCTCTGAATAATAAGTCAAACAGATCTATAGTAACAAGCACTGAACGTCACTCAGTTGAACTCGAGAAGTATATTAAACTGTAATGAACCAAGATTAATCCTCAGCCATATACCTTTTAGTTCTAAAATAAGATAGGAATACCAGAATTAAATAGAGGTGGGGTGATTACTATTAAAAGAGGTATAGACTGACTACTGTTCTTTTTGCACACAATGTTTACCTGGTTTTTCAACAGATTCAGGTTGCCGCTCACTGTGGAGGCTAAAAAGCTATCAACGAGAGAGAAATATCACTCAGTAACAAGTTGCCGAACTTCTTGGGACGCTCACCTGTCAACAGACATCTCTCAAATATACCTAATATACTTGTAGTATGTAGAAGCACATTTGGATTGGTAAACATAAGATTTCGTGATAACTAAAGTCAATGAATTGATGATATTAGATGGTTTGAGACAATCAGCAAGAAGCTTTTCTTGAACCAGGTCTTGTGTTAATTGGCACTCACCAATCAGCAAGGCACATCTGCAACCTCCTCCCTGGAATTCGAACCTGCGTCACCCAATGCTGCAGTCAGAAACGTTACCACTGAGCTATTCAGCTCTCGACTGACCTCTTGTAGCACTGTAGAGTATACTTCGATTGAACACTAGTAACTAGTGTGATATGTCTAGTGCTTTCTTTAATGTAGACTGAATTCTATCGGTCAAGTTTGCAATGTGGCCATCATTCTCGGTGGCTCACTATCACGGTGTACATCGATTCGATGATATTAGATGGTTGGAAGCAATCGGCAGGAAGCCTTCAAGGTTGCAGATACGCCTTGCTGACTGGTGGGTGCCAACTAACACAAAACCTGGGTCAAGCAAGACTTCCTGCTGATTGCCTCCAGTCATCGAATACCAACAATTCACAGTGCACCGTGATGGTGAGCCACCTAGAAT